GTCAGATATAAGTATTGCTACCCCAGCTTTTTTTTCATTTCCATTTGCCTGGAAAACTTTTTTCCATCCCTTCACCCTCAGTCTGTGTGCATCTTTTTTTCTGAGGTGGGTTTCTTGTAGACAACAGATGTATGGGTCTTGTTTTCTTATCCAATCTGTTACCCTATGTCTTTTTATTGGAGCATTTAAACCATTTACATTTAAAGTTATTAATGATAGGTACTCATTTGACGCCATTTTTAATCTATACCCATGTTCCTTCTTCACTTAATATTTCTTTATTTTTACAGTAGACCCCTTAGCATTTCTTGCATTGCTGGTTTGGTGGAGATAAATTCCTTCAGTCTTTTTTTGTCTGTGAAGCTCCTGATTTCCCCTTCAATTTTGATTGATAGCCTTGCTGGGTACAGTATTCTTGGATTCAGACCCTTTCTTTGCATGACTTTGTATATTTCATCCCATTCCCTTCTGGCCTGATAAGTTTCCGTTGAGAAATCAGTTGCTAGTCTGATGGGGGTTCCTTTGTATGTAACTTTCTGTCTCTCTCTGGCTGCTTTTAAGATTCTTACTTTGTCGTTGTTGTTTGCCAATTTAATTATAATATGCCTTGGAGTCTGTTTTCTGGGATTCATTTTGCTTGGGACTCTGCGAGCATCTTGGATTTGTGTGGGTTTTTTCTTCTCTATTTCAGGAAAGTTTTCTGTCATTATTTCTTGAAATACTTTTTCCATGTCTACTTCAGTTTCCTTTCCTTCTGGAACCCCTATTATTCGAATATTGTTTTGTTTTGTATTGTCCCAAAGCTCCCGTAGGCTCTCCTCCTGCTTTTTAATCTTTTTTTCTAGAAGTTGCTCTACTTGGGTATATTTTTCCATCTTATCTTCTAGCTCACTGATGCGGTCCTCTGCTTCATCTAGTCTACTCTTGATGCTTTCTATTGAGTTCTTCATGGTAGCGATGTCATTTTTCATTTCCTCTTGGTTCTTCTTCAATTCCTCATGGTTCTTCTTCAATTCCTCGTGGTTCTTCCTCATTTCTTCTTGGTTATTGTCAAATTTCTCTTCCATTCTTTTTAGCCATCCTATGATCATTATTCTGAATTCTTGCTCTGGTAGGCTGGTTGCCTCTGACTCTACTTCCTTTTCTGGTGATGCCTGCTTTTCTTTTATGTGCAGACTATGTTTTTGTCTCCCCATGGCCTCTCTTTTCAGGGTGTCTGGTTATGTGGTGTTCCTTCTCCTGCGTTGATTTAAAGGTACAATATACAACACTACCAGGTACAACACAAGAGGCACTTAACAGGAATGTATTTACAATATTAATAATCTCAAATAAAGGTGACCACTAGAGAAAGGCAACTTAGGGGTTAGGGGAGAAGGAAGAAAGGTAAAAATAAAATAAAGAAAATTTTTTATAAAATTAAAATTTAAAAAAAAAATTAAGAAAATAAAATAAAAAAAAGAAGGATAAAGAGATAGAAAGAGAAGAAAAAAAGTAATGACAAAATAAAGTTGGAAAACAGGGAAAAAAAGAAAGGAGAGAGAGAGAGAGAGAGAGAGAGAAAGAAAGGGAGAGAAGAAGCAAACTAAAAGAGAAATGGGAAACAAACTATATATATGTGGAGAAAATTGCCATAGAACAACTACTGAACCCAGCCAATGCCAGTAACAATACTTGGAGATTAATACAAACTACAGTATCCACTATTATTAAGTAAGGCTATGATATACAGAAGTAATAGAAACAAATAAAAACAGAGGATTTAAAAAAAAATACAATGCAACAATAACAACACAGGAATAAGCATAACCATTTCACTAAAAAGCATAAAAATTCACAATAATCAACCCTCACACAAACAATGCGCAAAGGATAGAGGGGAGAACAGTTTTTTTTTTTTTTTTAACTAGTTAATATAGTACAGAAATTGGTATTTATACACTTGGATCAGGGGTTGGAACTTAGGTCTATACGTATAGTGAGAGCTTTAGCAAGGGGTATACAGAAAGAATAGAGGAAAATCTAGAGCCGGAAAGGGATAGGATAAACCGTCAACTAAAAGGGTAAAGTTTAGTAAGAGAGTGATGGTGTAAAGGTCAAGTTGAGATAGGGTTGAATGATGCTATAGTAGTGATTAAAATAGAATGGAGGTTATTCCCAATGTAAAATACAGAAAAAAAAAATAAAATGGTACTGGAGAGGAAACAAACAAACAAACAAACAAACAAGAAAAAACAAAGAACAAAAAAAAAAAAAAGGAAAGAAAAATTGCAAAATAGCAGTAGTAATAGTGATGATAGAGATTGAAAAATGTAATAATTGAAAAGGTAAAATGAAGTAAGGAAAAAAATAGAAAAAATTTTTCTTAAGTAAATGCTATAAAAAGTGAAAATTAAAGATGTAAAAAATGAAAATAAAATAAAGAATAGTAAAATTAGCATAAAAATGTCCAGTAGTGGTCATTCACTTCCTCTGTTAATGTATTTGGCCCTCCTGATTCTCGGACCAGACAGTCTTGCAGTCCCCAGCATTCCACTGCACCTCAGTTTTGTAAGGTAAACCTTAATTTTAAGCAGGTTATATCTTAGTTATTTGTGTCCGTTTATTTTTGATTAATTAAAGGAAAAAAGAAAGAAAAAAAAAAAGAAAAAAGAAGAGAAAAAAAAAAAAAGAAAAAAGAAGAGGAAAAAAAAAAAAAGAAAAAAGAAGAGAAAAAAAAAAAAGAAAAAGAAGAAAAAAAAAAAAAAAAAAAGGCAGTTTGTAATTCGGCTCTTAGGTGTCAGTGTTTCCGGTTTGACCTCCCAGTCTTTTTGGTTGCTCTGGCCTTCTTTCTCTATGGCTCTAGCTGGCTCCAGGACTATGTCTTCTGGCTCCAATCCCTTGTTTCCAGAAGGCAAATTCCCCCTACAATTTCCCCGGCTATGCCCAACTGGGCAGTTCTTCTCTAGTATTCAGAAGCAAGGGGATGAATGGGAACCGGTGCCAAGGTGTCCAGATGTTCCGCCCTTGGCGGGACAGCTGCGATTCTTAACACTCTGTCCCTTGTCCCCTGGCGTTTTAAAAAAGCCCCTCTTCTCGGGGGGGATTACTTCAAACCCAGCACTAGGTGTCGCTGCAGCCTTCTCTGGGCTCCGCTCCGCCTCAGTGGGCGGTAGTTTGCGCACCCGTCTACCGTGGAGGCAGGGCCGGAGCTCCCCGGCTACCGTAGCATAGGCGGGGCCGGAGCTCCCCGGCTGCCGTAGTGGAGGCGGGGCCGGAGCTCGCCGCCGCGGAACCCAGATCCCTTAGGCTATCCCCGCAAACTCTGACCTTTCCGTGGGTGACTGAAGAACTCCCCGGAATCCAGGTGTCTGCGCAGCTCTGGGAGTCTCAGCTGCTCGATGGACCTCCGGGCTGTGCGTTTTCCACGCCTCAGAGAAGCTTTTTCCTTCCTGGCAAGACAATGCAGCCCTTCCTCCACGCCCGCAGCCCACCGCTCGCTGAGGCCGCTGCTGTCCTGGCCGCTTGTTCAGGAAATCCTGTCCAGCGGACCCTCCCTTACCCTCCTTGAGAGCTCCGCTGTCCCTTAGCTGCCAAATAACACTCCCTGAGTGACTCAGAAGCCCCCTTTATCCGTTCTGGGACCAGAGTCAGAACAGGTCCGACTGTTCGGTCGCCATCTTCAAGCTCCGCCCCCCAAAATTTTTCTTTCTTATGATTAGAGTTTTAAGATTTATTCATGCTGTATATTACATTCCCCTGACTTATTTATTTTTTATCTGGGAGTTTGTACCTTTTTTACCATGTGGCTGTCCAGTTTTCCCAAAACTTATTTATTGAAGAGACTATCCATTTGCATAGGTTAATTTCTGAGCTCCCTTGTTTTGTTTCATTGATCTGTGTATCTGTTTATATACCAGTACCATACTGTTCTACTTACTATAGTATTATAATAGTAGTATAGTTTGAAATCAGGGAGCGTGATACCTCCAATTTTATTTTTTTTATTTTTACTTTTATATACTAAAATCTCTATAATATAAATTGCATTTGTAATCAGAAAAAAATTGTTTTAAACACGAAAGCAATTTTTGGCTACACCTGTGTAGCTGATTGAACTCCCTAAAGGACTATAGAATCATAATGTAGAGCTTGTAGGATCTTAAAGATTATTTTCCCTTTTTTCAAGATGAGAGATTTTTAAAAATATAATAATAGTTAACGTTTATTCAGTCACCAGTATGTTATTCTACTTCACTTAACCCTTAATGAGAGTTGTTCTGTTTTTATTCTAACTTTATAAATGAGGAAATGTAGAATTAGACAGTTTAATTTGATCACAATTAAGTGATGGAACCAATATCATGTAATGGAATACAGTGTAGTTTTTAAGTGATCTGTTCAGTGTTAAATTGTGTATCAGGATTAACAGCCTGATGTTTAGATTGCAAATTCAGTGTTCATTTCACAAATTCTATCTGTTTAGGGAAAAATGTTGACTTGTAACAATCTTAAATGCAATGACCAATTTCATTCTATTATGTCTTATCAACATGAACTTAAAATCTATCATTATCACATACATTTCAAATGTATCTATTAAGATAATGTTTTAATCCTCTTAAAACCTTGGGTGATGAAAATGTCCTGGAATTAATAGTGTTGATGGTTCACAATCTTGTGAATATACTAAAAACCATTGATTTGTACATTTAAAAAAAAATTTTTTCTTTGCTTAAGATTACAGAAGAAAGTTTTAAATTGTTATATTAAAATATAAAGAGACCCAAAAATTATATACACAATAAATTTATAATGAAGTTTTATGTTACACCAAATAAATTAATAGGCTGACTGTTTATCACCTCTTCCTTGACCATGAAGAATACCTAATATTGAAGCAACACTATTATTTCGACAGGTTGTATAACCATTGATTAGCTTAGAAATGTAAAATACATGCTCCTGGGGTTTTGTGTGTTTATTTTTGAGGCTTCTAATTCTGTATGTTTGCTTTTAAGCAACGAATGTTATCTCGGCAAGAAGAACTTAAAGAAAGAGCAAGAGTTCTGCTTGAGCAAGCAAGAAGAGATGCCTCTTCAAAGGCAGGGACTAAGCAAACTACCAACGCAGCCACAGTACTCTGCAACAGGCAGCTAAGTGATGTGAGGGTCATTGGTTTAAAAATACCGTAAATTGTTCATTGTGATCATGGGGGTGAGGGTACTAATTTATTTACATTCTTGCTAAATTACTTTTCTACATACTTTGTATATTGTGGATATTTGTTACACTTATTGAGCTTACAAAGTCATACTTGGAGGAGCATGTTGTGATTATTTCTACACATTAGTTTTAGCTATGAGGAAAAGTAAGATTCTGGAATATAATTTCTGCACATACATGAATAATCTATTTTTTCATAATTTAGTTGTACTTTGTTTAAGATTGTATTTTTATTCATGGAAGTTAATTTTGTTGAAAATATTAGAATTTAACATGTTTATCACTTATTGAATACCCAGCAAATATTCCAGGTACTATAAAGGATGTTTTACATACGTAATTTTTATTTTACTTAACCATGAAGAAGACTTTTCAAGCTACTTTTCAGATTAAAAAAAAAACATACACAAAAATCTAAGGCTCATAGATAGGTAAGCAGGAATTCAGAGTCAGTAAATGGTGAATCCAGGATTTGAACCTCAGCGTCATCAGATTTTAAAATAAAAAATGCTTTTTCCTATCATATACTGCCACCCCTGTTAAATCACATTTTTTATATATTTTTGTGTAGTGCTTCACAGTGATGATGAACATATAGTAAGAGAAGCCCTAAGACTTAGGGGGCCATAAACCTCTTCATGAATCTGAAAAACATGACATCCTTGCCCTACCAGCAAACTCACATATACATAAAACTGCATGATTTTTTTTAATTAATATTTTTTAGAGCAGTTTTTATTTCACAGGAGAATTGAGGGGAAGGTATATATTTCCCATAATCCCCTATACCCACACATGCATAGCCTCCCCATTAACAATATTCTTCACCACAATGACACATTTTTTACAACTGATAAACTTACATTAATGCATTATAATCACCCAAAGTTCATAGTTTACATTATGGCTCACATTTGGGTGTTGTACGTTTTATGAATTGGAAAAACATATAATGACATGTGCGAGTGCCCCACGTCAGCCTGCCAGCTGCGAGTGTCCTCCCCACATCCTGTGTGGTTCAGTGTTCAGGTTCAGGGTTTGGGCTCTGGAGAAGGCCACACACAAATGAAAGAGACTAGATTATAAAGTATAAATTTGGGAATATTGGGGGCCAGGTGGGAGCGCAACTCAAGGGTAAGGACTCCACTCTACTCTGGCTTTACTATACCTTTTATTCCGATTTGTGGGATACACCCATAGCCCTTAGGCAGACAATTCCAATAATAGCCAATCAGCAGGAATTCACATAAAACTAAAAGGTGGAAGTTGCTTTAGCTACCATTGTCTCAACTAAATAGTGGGTGGTTGGCTCTGACCTTTCAGTGCTTTAAGGTTGACCAGCCTTCCAGGTTCCTTGTCCACACTTCTGTGCTAATGAAAGCAATGGGTGGCTTCCAACTGACATGCATCCATTATTAGAGAGTATACAGAGTATTTTTATTTCTCTAAAAATCCTGTGTTCCACATATTCAGCCCTGTCTCCATTCCCAGCCCCTGGCAAACTGATTCTTTTACTATTTCCATGATTTTGCCTTTTGCAGAATGCTTTAGTTGTAACCACACAGTATGTAGCCTTTTCTTTTTTCACTTAGCAATATTTATTTGAGGTTCTTCCATGTCTTTTCATGGCTTGATAGCTTATTTCTTTTTAGTATTGAATAATATTTCACTGTCTGGATGTACCATGGTTTATCCATTCACCTACTGAAGAACATCTTGGTTGCTTCCAAGTTTTGGCAATTATGAATAAAGGTGCTATAATCATTCATGCGTAGGTTTTGTATAGATAAAAGTTTTTAACAACTTGGAATACACGGAAGATAGCACAATTGCTAGATTGTATGGTAAAAAAAAAAAAAAAAGGATGTTTATTTTTGTAAGAAATCACCAAACTGTCTTCCAAAAGTGACTACCATTTTTGCATTCCTACCAGTGATGAATGAGAGTTCAACTGCACATCTTTGACAGCATTTAGTGTTATCAGTATTCCAAATGTTGGGCATTCTAATAAATGTGTAGTTGTATCTCATTGGTTTTTTTCCCCCCCTGCTAACATGTGATGTGGAGCATCTTTTGATATGTTGGTCATCTATACATCTTCACTGGAAGAAGTGATTCTTAAGGTCATTGGCCTATTTTAAAATAAAGTTATTTATTTTTTTACTGTTGAGTTCTAAGAGTTCATATTTTGGATAACAGGTTTTTTTTAATCAGATGTGTCTTTTGCATATATTTGCTCCCTATCTGTGGCTTGTTTTCTCATTCTCTCCACATTGTCTTTTGCAGAGACGAAGTGTTTTTAATTTAATGAAATCCAGCTTTACCTTTATGGGTCATGCCTTTGATGTTGTACGTAGAAAGACATCACATAACTCCTGTGTTATCTTCTATGATTTTTAGAGTTTTGTATTTTAGATTTAAGTTCACAGTCCATTTTGATAGTTTTGTGATGGGAGTAAGATCTGTGTGTAGATTTATATTTTTGCATGTGGATATCCAGTTGTTTCAGCACCAGTTGTTGAAAACTGCCTTTATTGTGTTCCTTTTGCCCCTTGATCAAAGGTCAGTTGGTTATATTTATGGGGTTTATTTTTGGGCTTTCTATTCTGTACCACTGATCTTTCTATTCTCTTACCATACTGTAGCTTTGTAGTTAGTTTTGAAGTCAGTAGTGTCAGTCCTCCAACTTTGTTCTTCTCCTTCAGTATTGTGTTTGCTCTTCTTGGCCTTTATCCTCTCTATATAAATTTAGAATCAATTTGCCAATACCCTCAAAATAACGCTGGATTTTCATTGAGATTGCAATGAATCTATTACCGTAATCAGGTTGGAAAAAACTCACATCTTTACAATATTGGGTCTATCTACTCATTAACATAGAATCTCTCTCCATTTCTCCATTTGTTTAGTTCTTTTATTTCATTACCAGAGTTCTTCATATTGATCTTATACTTATTTCATTAGTTTTATACCTAATCATTTAATTTTGGGGGGTGTAATGTAAACAATGTGTTTTTTTTCAAATCCCACTTGTTCATTGCTGTCATGTGGGAATGCAATTGTCTTGTATCAATATAATAGCCTTGTATCCTACAACCTTGTTTATTAGCTCCAGGAAAGTTTTTCTTTATTATTTTTTTCAGTTTCTATGATACATTGACAATCATGTCATCTATGAATAAAGACAGTTTTATTTCTTCTTTCCCATGCATATTTTTTAAAATACCTTTCAGAGATCAACTTAATAACCTCTGACCTCAAGAATCATTTTTCAGATTTTAAGTCTTTATTTAGTAACATGATATAAAATCAGTTTAGTGAGTCACAATAATTTTTTAATATAAAGGAATATAATAGAATGGAAGAGAAAATATCAGAATTCATCACACATAGTAAGTATAGTATTTTTGTGTGAAATGTTTTAATTCTGTGGATATGTGTGTTTATATATGTGATATAAAATATATTAACTGTGGGTCATGATAAAAATGTTTGAGAGACACTCATCTAGAGGGCCTTTTTGTATGGAGAGAAAAAATTTGTAGCCTTTATGCCAACTTTTTTCATTTCCATCTGTTGCATCATCAATTTGTTGATTCAGACATTTGCCATACGTTAATTGAGTGTCTGAACTGAATATATTCAGAGTAAGAGAAAGGACTTCCCTCATGGAGTTTATATTTTGGTGGGAAGATACAGATAATAATAAGTATGTAACTACAGAGTTTGAAAAGATAATTTGCGTAAGTTGACTTGAATAATTTGAGAAGGGGACATTTAAACTAAGATTTGATGGGTAAGAAGGATCATTATCCAAGTGAATAGGCACAGAAAGAATATTCTTTCTAAAAAGAAAGTTATTTTGTTTGTTGATAGCATATTTGTGATAAACTTTGTTTTATAATTCTTTCGGGTCTAAAAATATGAAAGACTTACAGGTTTATGTCTTTCCACTATTGATTTAAAATTCAGACTACCTGAGAGTCAAACCTCTTTGTCTGTCAAGTAAATTTTTAAAAATTACTTTACCTGTATGCAAAATTTACATATACTAATAATTATCATCTAATGTTTATTGAGCATTGTACTGTGTGTTGGACAGGGTTCAAGTGCTTTCACACGGGTTTTCTCATTCAGTCTCTACAACAGTTGTGTAAGTTAAGTATTATTTTCCCTGTTTTACAATTGAGAAAACTACCACACATTAATTAATTGCCCATAATCACACAGCTAATAAGAGAGCCAAGAGTTAAACCTAAACATTTTGACTTCAGAGATTATATTTTAAAAGCATCGAGCTATATTTCTTGTTTATTTTTCTGATATGCTTGTGAAGTAGGACAACAAATTATTTTTTTATCATTGTAGAGATAAAGAAAGTGAGTTAGGAAAGAGTGTTGAAATTTACGTGGGGTTGCAGACAATGGCCAACTAGGTTTAGAATTCAAATATCCTAACTTTTAAAGGTATTTATTGTTTTATTCAGTGTGTTTATTTATTTATTACTTCAAACTTTCAAAAAATATTTTATTGGTCATCTATTCCATTGAAATCATTAATAATTTTACTTAAAGTTTTTATTTACCAGGTAAAACTTCAACTTTTAGCTAAATTATATTAGTATGAATTCAACATAAACAGTTTATGCTAAAACATCTCTTGTTCTATGTCTGTGGCATCTTACTGTTTCTAAAATATATATCTTGGATGTTAAGAAACATAATTGGCATAAAAGAACCATTTTGTTACGGTCATAGATTCTGTGAGTTAGGCATTAGGATAGGACAGTGGTTGGCAAACTGCGTCTTGCGAGCCACATGCGGCTCTTTTGCCCCTTGTGTGCGGCTCTTTCACAAAATACCACATGCAATTGAAACTTTGTGGCCCAAGTGCAGAAGTTGGTTTTCAGCTCTCAAAAGAAATTTCAATCGTACTGTTG